TTTGGCAATGTTTGCAGTCTCTCAGCCCACTCCTGTCACCTGGAGTGATGAGTGAGTTAAAATATTCCAGCCTAAGGTATAGAGGGAGGTCTGAGGCTCTCTGTTGTCTCCCTCCTTCAAAGAGAACAGGGCCACCACCATGGGCGTCTCACCATCTCCCTGAGTTCAGGCTGTCAAAGGCCAAGTTTCACTTACCTTCCACTTCCAGAAACTTCTTGTCCATTGATTTGTGCTACGGCAGGGGCTTGGGCCAGGGCCAGGCCAGGGGGAGCAGCAGCAGGAGCAGTAGGGTCCATCCTTGGGACACCAAGTCAGATGACTGTGGGCTGTTCCAGTCCTCAGAACCTTCAGCACTCTTTTGGCTTTTCCCCCAGAGACCCTTTTATAAGCCCTGCCTTGACTCATCAATTATTCAGGCAGGGCAGGGGTGGGGGAATGCGGGAGGGGGGGGAAGGTTGAGGGAAAGGGCTCCTGGAGAGAGAGAGCTATGTTCTTGGGTGTGAAATCTCTCCCAGTTGAATAAACAGGGTCCCAGTGGAGGCGAAGGGTCTGCTGTAGCCCCAAGTCAGACAGGAAAACAAAGAAGGGGCAAATTTCACGCCATTTGTGTGAATTTCCCAGGCAATATCAAGGCCCAAGGTGGGAAGGAGGGGAGCTCATTAGCACACAAAGGCACCCATGTTTGTCTTGGGCAGAGGGCTGGGTACATGGGTCTCTAGCATAGCTGGTTCCCAGTTAGAAAAGGAGGCTGCCAGCTCTAAGAAGAGTGAGGGACTCACCAGCTATTTCAGCTCAAATCCCAAGTAGATTTGCCAGGTGGACCTGATACAGGGTCACGGCCATGAAGCCTGTCACGTGGCTTAGGATAAAGAGGGGTTCTGGGTGGAGCAGGTCCAGTCTCTTGCAAGGGAAACCTCAAGTCGTCTTTCAATGTCTCCCCACCCCTGCCTCACTGCTCAGTTGACTTGCAAAAGTGCCTAAAGCCCCCTCTGGCCTCAGCAGAAAGTTGTGTGGTATGGGGAGCAGGCCCAGGGAGTTTGCAGGGCAGATTCCAAATGGCACAGCTCAGCTTCTAGTTTAGGAGCCCAGGTGCTGGAGGCTGGGAGGGTTCTGCCCAGCACTGTGCTGCCAAAGGACCATCAGAGGCCTCAGTCCTCTCACGTGAGATGAGGGTGCTGGCCCAGGGGTCCCCAAGGCCCTGCCAGCCTGAACATTATGTGACAAGAGCTGGGTAATGGGTACTGACACCAGCAAGCCAAAAGGTTTGAGCAGAGTGTTTGGCATTAGCCACCTTTTGGGCCTTAGCCAAAAAGCTTCCAGTTACAACAACTGGCAGGCACTTCATGTTTAGAGGTTTCAAAAATATTCCTCCTGACCTCAGTGGCCAGCACCTGCCTAGATTTAGTGTCTTGGATGTTCATCACAGCCTAGTTTGTAATGTTCAAAAATTAGAAACCGCCTCAGTGTCCAATAATAGGAAACCCGTTAGTTTTACTAATCATGGGCAATCCATGTAATCACATACTGAGCAGTCAGCCAGAATCATGGTATCAATGCAGAAAATTGTAATGCTAGATGTTAAAGAGTGTGACTAACTTGATTCAAGGGCTCCTTATCTAGCTCCCGCCTCCCAGTACTCTGATTGAATTTGAGCCTCACTGTGATCTGTACAGCAAAGAAAAAAAAAAAACTAAAGACAGAGCTGGGGATATGGCTCAGTGATGGAGCATGGCCATAGCGGGGGTTTGACCCCTAACACTAGAAAAATGAAGAAGATGAAGAAAACAACCTCATGTTAAAAATGTCCTGGTGGAAGAATGCACAAACAGCCAATGTATTCAAGAGTGAAACGCCTAAGTTTCGAAAATATCACTGAGGACAATCCCATTTTGATAAGGAAAAAATGTGGAATGTACAGTATGCGCAGAAAAAAATAGGCTAGTTAGAAGAAAAGATGTTGCACTTGGCAGCTGAGGGGGTAAGAGAGTAAGGCGAAGCCTCACTTCCTTTTTTATGATTTTGTGTTTTATTTGAAACAATTTCCACAACTGAACTGATATTGTTTGATGAACAAAAAATAAATAAATAAAGATACAAAGTTGAGTGTGCACGGATGGGG